CACCATCGTCTAACATGAGGGACCTCAAACATCGGAGTGAACTAAAGCAAAAGGGACGCAACCCGTTTATTGACTCGATCGGAAAAGTGACTACGAGTATGTTTCCCTAATTGACAAGACTCACAATTTGAAGTGGATAATTTAGATAAACTAGGCACCAACTTTTATAGCTTGGGAAGACCTGGATGACCTAACTGCGCATGTATAATGAGTGGAGAATCTATGGTGGAGTAAGTGGTAGATGATGTAGAGAAGTAGTAGAGGCCTTGAGACTCACATCCGACACCAATCGTTTGTCCCGAACTCTGATCCTGTAGAGTAACATTACTATTAGTAAAGGTTATAGAACAATTAAGGGAACGAGTTAAACGACTGATTGAGAGTAAATTAAATGGGAAATTAGATACATAAAGGACAGAAGTAACAGAGAGAGATGGTAAAATTTGAACAGTACCAATCCCTTGGGATCGGGTTTGAGAACCATTTGCGGCAGTTATAATAGGTAAGAAACCAGAGGTAGAGAGGGAAGAAAAAAGTCCTTTATTACTAGTAACATGATCAGACGCACAAGAATCAAGGACCTAAGGACCAAGAGGAGATGATTGAGAGAAGCAAACAGGTGAATTATCAGGGTGTGCAACCGAAGTAGTGGAACCAGAGATCTGATTTCCCTAACACCACCTGAGAAAATCCTCATAGCTTGGCGTAGGGTTCTGAATAGAAGGTGAAGTCTGCATAGTTTCTGGGTTATCACTTTGAGTTGCATTTACCTAGCGTGGGGGTTTTCCATGTAGATTCCAACAACGGGCGATAGTATGTCCAAGCCAGTTACAATGGTCACAATTGGGACGAGGTTTAGAGTTGGATGACCCTTCTCAAGGGCGATTCTGATTGATGCCAAGAGATGCGGGGGCAACAGTGTCACTTGGTGTTGGAGCAACAATAGATGGAGGGGAAACCGGACTAAACACATGAGGTGTAGCCAAGCATAACAGTTGTTCACTAACTGCATCATAGTTAGGAACAGTAGTACCTGATAAAATCTGGTTACAAACGGAGTCAAGTTCAGATGGTAGTCCTTTAAGTGCCATGACCATGAAGAATTTACTTTGTTGTTCAACATGAGCTGTTGCATCTTTTGCATACGGCATGAGGGTTGCGTAACTTGCTTTCAAGGCATCAAGTTTACTCAGATAGATTTGCATATCCATATTTTCCATCTTCAGTGTGTCGAGTTTGAGGATGACACTGTATAGACAATGAACGTCGTTGGAGAAGATTTTTTTGGCCTTTTTCCAAACCTCATAGCATGTGGAGAAGGCTTGATATTGTGCTTGGAGGTTAGGTGCTATGGAGAACCATAACACGATAAGTAGAGAGGCATCTGTTTTCTTCCATTTAGCGAGTTTGTTGGAGGCAACATTAGTCAATTATGTGGTTAGGTGATCTTCATATCCCTGACCATGAAACTACATATCGACAATATGAGCCCATATGTTATAGTTTTCTGATCTGGTTAGTTTTTCAGATGGGATAAGCGGAACTTTAGTAAACGAGATAGAATCAGCGTCTCCCATAGCTTAATGACACAAAAAAATAGAGTGAAATCGGGGATGTTTGCATTGGAGTACCGTTTTCCGTGAGTCGGAAAGTAAAACGAAGGCCGGAATCAACTGCCTCAGATTCTTCATATCTCTTCTGAGAGGCAACAATCTCCTCACTATCCATTATAGTAGCCGTACCGGGATTACCAAATAAGTTGATTTGTGTGTCAAGCGGATCAAGTACCTTTGCTTCACCTTGGGCCCTAAGAAATTTAGGTGCCAACTTATAAAGCTCATTCTTCATTCCATGAAGTCCTTCATCTATGGTCTCCTAGCACATAGGCTACTTGCCTAACCCATCTCCAATCTTTAGATAGTTGACACCTTCCGTCTAGTACTTGCTAAGAAACTCACGAAATTCCACATTTGCCTTAATTTTCCCAAGCTTTGTCGTAATTTTTCCCTCGCACCCCCATTACTCTTCTCTTTACTTATGCCTTGAGACATAATCTCCAATATTTTAGCAAAATTTCCACCCTTCTATTTTCTCGCCTTCTCAAATTTTCTTCTTTGTGCCTTATCCAAACGTGTTTGCTCCGCCTAGTGGGCAGAGATAATATTACTTACATGTTGCAATTTCGTACCTTCCGTCAAATTATTCATAGAATTTTCCTGCTGGTGATCTTGTTTGAATTTACTATTTTGTCGCTCCTCTGTCACATCTTCCTCCTTAATTTCTTCCTCTACCAACACCGTAAATCTTGATCCTTTACCCTTATTAGCTACCTTTGCACCTGCAATCAACCTTGAATTCACATTGTCCTTACTAGAGTCATTCTTCCGTCGTCTCGATTTTTGCACTACCTGCCAAGGACCTTTGATAACTGCCTGCATATTAGTAGTTGATGAAACACCTTCCACATTGAGGCTTCCTAGCTCCTGATTCTCTTCCTTCCCTAAATTAGAAACCTATTTATCCGATCAGTTTTCTGCATAATGTCCATATTTTTTGCAACTTAAACATAGTAAATCTAAGCCTTCGTACTCGACTTTGTAGTGTCGTCCCTTTATCACAAACATAGCAAGGAGATATTTAGACAGATCAATTTGGGCACACATCCTCGCATATTTCCCTCTTTCCCGCGTTAGTATGTTTTGGTCAACTTTGATAACTTTTTCAATCCGGTTACCTATAAAAGTGAGAACCTTTTAGTCATAATACTTGATAGGCAATCCTGCAATATGAACCTGCACTGCCAATTGTTCCACCACATCATTAGCAGGAAAAAAATTTGGTGTTCATTCCCTCACCATGAGATAATGATCGTAAATGAGCCACGACCCTTCATAGAGGGCAGTTTGATGATCTTCATCACTTGTGAATGTAACAAGATAATAATCCTAACCCAAGTCCAATATACTCAAGACTCCCTTCCTAGTCCAAAGTTGCTGTAAACGGTTCTTGAGCGCCTTGAATCCAACTTTCTTTTCCATCATTTTGGTGATCACCCCATTCTCCCAAGGTTTCACAATCCATTTTTCTTCCATAATAGATATGATAAATTCAGGACAGTCATAACCTCCTACCTGCTTCTCCTTGATGCATATTTGATTTAGATCATATTCATTATCCTCCATTTCCTCCTCAGCCTAAAAATAAGTCCTCCCTCTTTACTTGTTTCCCATGTGACCTTTATTTTTATACGAAATCTTTTGCTCACCTTGATCCTTCCTTTGAACACTAGCCTCTTATGTATGCACTTTCTTTCCATTAGCAACTTGAGAATGAGAATTCTCCAATTCCTTAATTAACTATTTGATCTTGGTCCCCATAACACTGTGCACACGATTTTCCTTGGGGTCAAGATTCTTTCTTGGAGTTGCCCCTCCATGATCTTCCTTCAGTATTTCCATTCTTCTCCCGCACAACACTATTCCCTCCCAACTCCAAAAAAGAAACCATTTACTCCAGGTGATTCTAAGCTCTCAGAGGATCGAAAATCCCCAGGTCGGTGTCTTTCAGGGTGGTTCCAAGTCCTAAGACTAAGAATTTAAACTACAGTGAAGGAAACTTCCGTCCCAGCGAATCCATCACCCTCAGATCAGAACCTTATTGGAAAGCTAACTAAACCCCAATTCCTAATTGGGAACCCTAGTTGAGCCCCAATTTCCAACTATGATTGGTAATTGTATTTCAAAATTACAACATTAATTCTAAATCATTTATAAACACATAATATAAAACCATTCTATATTTTAAAAAATGTATCATCTATTATAAAATTTATGTTAATACTGTAAGTTATATTATATTAAAAATACATTTAATTATTACTAGTTAAACCCCGATCATATTATTAAACCTAGAACCTTTCGCTTTAGTATCTGGTCCAATTTTAATTACCTTAATTAGTACGTCGTCACATATTCATAAAAAGAATTAATTATTTTTATGCTGTATTTGATTAATATTGATCACATTCTTATAATTATGTGCAAACATAGATTACATAAATAATTATTTACACTTTATTTCAATTTAAAATTTTTTTATTTATACTCACCTATTATATTAGAAATAAAAGTATGAGAATGTAAAAGTTATTTTATTTCTATAAATATTTTATATCTAAAAAATTAATATTTTAGTTTTAAAACAAATATGCGAAATAACTTTTCTTAGACAGTAACAAATAACTATGGTTTTAAATTGCGGTTGCAGCTGCGGTTATGGTTGCAGTTACTGTAGTTGCAGTTATTGCAGCTCTTGCAATGCAGATTATGATTGTTGTAGTGTGAATTTATTTTTATCAACATAAAATAATATACGTTATTATATGTATTAGGTTTCACATGTCATTTATTATTACATGCTAATGCAGTCTAATGCAGACAATTGCGATCATTGTGGTATTATGATGCGGCCGTTGCAACACTAAGATGCAATTTTTAGTATGATTTACAATCACACCGTAATTAAAGTTTAATGAGGATGCAAACACTATCGCAACCGCAATATTACGATCGGCAATCCACAATTTAAAACCATGCAAATAATCGCTATATTTTTAAGACTAAGTTTTACAACATAAAAATGAATAAATTTTTAAATTCAAAGATAGATAGATCTTTTATATGTGTAAAAAAGATAGAGAACTAGACTGGTAAATTAAGTATTTACTCCAATATTAAATTTAAATAAAAACATGAAAAATCTGAATACTTCTTCCTCCATTTCCCCGGAAAATATTCCAAATATTTCTCGTAAAAATGGTCTTCATGACTTGGCAATTTTCCCGTAATTATTTCCAATCATTCCTACATCACAATCTTCATCATTCCTACCTCTCCAATCTCTTCAAGATCTTCAATCAAAACCATCCAAATCTATTCAACCTACCTTTTCATTTCAATTTCTATTTCTAATCACTCTCTTCTCCTACCTAACTCATTGCAATGGCGGAATCCCCCGACAAGGGATCCAAAAAGAAAACCGCAGCTTTGGAACGTGAGCGAGACGAGCTAGCAACTGAGAATGCACAGAAGAATGAGGAGATCAATAAAATGAAGGAAGATATTGAGAAATTACGCAAAAATTTGGAGGATTCGACGGCAGAGCTGGAGGCGGAAACTGCGAGGCTTCATAAAGAAGTGGTGGAATCAAAGGTAGAGGCAGAGAAACTAAGAAAGATTCTAGAAGAGAAAGAAAATAAGATTGAGATGATTGAAAAAGAAGGAAAAGATTTAAGACAAGAGAATGGTGAGATGGAAATGAAGGTTAGGGAATTGGAGAGAAAAATTGGAGTTAGTGAAATGAAAGAAGCTGAAGAGAATAGTAAGAGAGTTAGGGTTGAGGAAGAGATGAAGGAAAAAGTTGATGAAAAAAATAGGAAGGTTGAGGAATTGGAGAATGTTGTTAGAGAGAGAAAAATTGAGTTAGAAAAATGGTTAAAAGAGAAGAGGAATTTGGAAGAGAAAGTTAGGGTTTTAGAATTTAGTTTAATGAATATGAATATGAAGGAGAATGGGATGGAGATGAGTTGGCCTGCTGTGGCAGCTGGGTCTATAGGAGGGACTGCTATGGTGGCTGTTTTGATACGTTTCTTATTTGGGAACAAGAGATGAGATAGTGTTTGTGATAATGAATGATTCGATTTCAATGGAATGATGAATAATTTTTCTTTTGGGATTTCTAATTATGATTCAAATTCCAATGGAATGATTCAATTTTGTAGCTTTAGAATGCTTACTTTGTTATATTGTATTTGGAGCTATGTATTTTGTTTTGTTTCTTTGTTACTTGTGATTGTTGCATGGAGAAAATTAAACCATTTTTTTGTGTGATTAACACTCAATATTAATAGGATTTTATTATGTGTAATGATTATGGTTTTTGAAAATTGTCTTCAAACGAGAAAACGACTATGACAAAACAAAACGGTATTAGCATATGTCAATATTAATATTGCTATTTTTATATTAACAAATAAAATTTGGTTAATTTACGCCGCAATGATCACAATCAATATCCTGATACTTGTAGTGACCTAAATCTTGAAAGTCACGACTCTTTTAAACCATGCTAATGCTAAATGGTAAGAATTTTGTATTTAACAAATTTTCAAAAGAATGTATACTTGTCTTAATATTAGTGGTGGAACTAAAATTTAAGTCATACTTATAAGACCAACTCCAATGGGAGTTCTTAGAGTGGGTTTGCCAACATGGCACTCATATTTGTTGTTTTCAAGATTGCCATGTTGTTGAACGGTGCTTAATTAAGCAACGGTTCTTCAACTGTTCTTATATTAAAATATTAATTTTATAATATAAAAATTATAATTTAATATAAAATTTTATTTATCATTTTAATTATCATATGAAAATTATAATTACAATATTAAAATATTGATTTTATAATATGAAAACTATATTTTAATTATAAGTTTAATTTGAATTTTATTTATTTTATTTTTATTTATTTTAATTTTTAATTTTAATTTTATTTTTATTTTATATCAAATTTAATTTAAAACACTAAAATTAACTAAGGAGAGATTGAAATATTTTTTAAAATTTAATCTAATTTTTTTTAAGTTTATATAGTATAATGAAATATTTTTCCTTAAAACAACACTATATACCGGTTGGACTATATAGTAGATTGAAATAATTTTCTGTAAAAAAATTAAAATTATTATTTTAAGTGATATAAAATTTAATATGAATAAAATATTAACATATAAAGTAAACTTGTGGGACCCAATATGAGTTCTTCAGAATTGCACCATTGGAGTGAAAAATTAGTTGAGTTGCTTCAAGCTGACGTGGCTTAATAGGTCCCACAAAGAACCCAAAAATGAGTTCACGGTTGGAGATACTCTAAGTGATTGGATACTGTAGTTATTGTTATTACATATATAACCTTTTTCTTTTGTTATATACCGTCTACAACATATTTATAATGGAGAATTGTCACGAACTCAAACAAGATAATGATGTCACTAAGAGAACTTTAACCTGGAAGGGAGCAGAGAATCCTTGGAAGCATGTAGGAAGAGAAGGGGTAATCGTAGGATCAACAAGGGAACTCGTTGGGATAATCAGTAATCAAAACGGTCTAGGAGCTTTGACTTAGAGAAAACAATCATTTTTCATTCATCTTTCCGCGACAATTGCAGAGCAAGAGCAAGGAAGGTGCATGAAGTCTCTGGGGGAGTGGATTCAATGCCTTTACTATTGAGTCCCTTTGTAACTTTAAGCTTATTTATAAAATAAAAGAACTATTAAAATATAATTTCTTGAGAAAGAATGGTTGGATTAGAGAGATATATGATAGATCTCTTCATAATCTTATTATTTCTATCCATATAGAAATCAAGAACATAATTCTAAAATAATTCCTAAGAGTCTTTATACCATCAACTTGTATCCCTTAAACCCATATTAGAATTCAATCAGAAAATAAAAGCGAAAGCGTACCTGAATTTGTCATTGAAATTGTTGAAGGTTGCAGGTATGTGATCTTCCAATTTGTAGAGTTTCTTAGAGTTCTTTCAATATCTTCTGATGGAGATGAAGAAAGAAAACATGATAAACCGTATTTTGATCGTTCTTTATAAATGCGGACCATAACCCATTTAAATAATCCTAGGGTTACTTCTTAGTTTTCAATATTTTAATTTGGCTCCTCATGAAATTAGATATTGACTTATGGTATCTACACAATAACCTGACCTTTCATGACATTTATACTTTTAGCCACAAACTTAATATTATATTAATTAGACCCCTTTAAGTCTTGAATAATTAAAATAATGGCACTAACGCCTTAAATGTTACATTTGTGACCCAAAATTCTAATAATCTCCCACTGGTCACATATGTAACTTTACATGCGTGTTAGACTTTATGAGCTCAAAATTTTCCATTACATACTTCAAGCATATCCAAACTATCTTGTCCATTGATCATGCCACTGTTCAGAACCAAAGTGATTTTTATTATATCAATCATAACAAAATTCATCAATGATCACCGGTAGTGACACAATTAAATGACATAGATCCATCATGAAATGTGTAGCATGAAAGTCACATGAAGTTGGTCTGTATATGTCAATTTTCAATTGGTCATACTTTACTTTAGTGAGATCATTCAATAACTTTATTGTACAAACAGTAAACTGTTCAATATCAAACTTTATTAATTTTGAAAACATCGAAAATTATAGTATACATACATAATACCAAACATAAAAACTAAAATTCATAATTGACTAACTCCCAGTTAACCAAAGACTCCTCTAATGATAAAACACCCATGCGAGCAGTGTGCTCATGAATGACCTTAGGTGGAAGACCTTGTTGCACCCTAAAATTTGCTCAACCTTATTCACTTGGTTTATGTTTCAATATCATTAGCATTTGCATATAGAGTCATGTACATAGTCTAACCATCTGCATAGCATAAGCATAGCAAGTCATCCAACAGGGGACCAATCATTATTCTCATCTCTAGAGACCTATCAGGAGGTTATTATCCAAATTCAATATCATTCAAGTCATCAGAAAGAATTTGAAAGCTGGGAAGTCAATGGATCAAGCAAGTGCATCCATCTCCTATCTAAGGGTCTCTGAGGATCAACAAAGAAATTGTGAGCTGTGGGCTGAGCATGGGGAGTATCTAGACATCTTGGAGTACTTAGAAAGTCATTTGGAGAAGAAGACAAGTCATTGGTATGGTCACAAGTATTGCAGTTGAAGACAGTCAACTAGGGTTTCATCTGGGGTCAACCCTGGGTCAACTCTAGGTCAATTGATTGATTGAAAGGCCTTGAGGTCTATTGAAGAGATGTGGGGTTTGTCATTTGACATGAAGAATAAGGATATGATGATATGCCAAGAAGAAATCAAGAGAAATCAAGGAGAAGAGGAGTTTATAAATTAGGGTTTCTGTGTAAAATCCCCTAATTTAGGTCAAATTTCCAAGCAAGATAAGTCAAAATGAAAGCTTCAAATGGATCCTTGGCCAACATAAAACTTGTAGAGGATCTCAAGACCTTTAATATGAGTGGTGGAAGACATCAAGGAGATTCATAGAACTCAAGTTATGGTCCTTGCAAGTTACAGGTCATCTGAGGTATCTGAAATTTTGTCTGTGAAAGTGACTTGACTTTCAAGCTATTTTTACCCCTCAAGGAGATTTCAAATGAATTTATGGTCAACATAAGAATTGTTCCTAATTGTCTTAGATTTCTATGATGGTATAGTATTCCTTCATATGATTTGTGGAACTCTACTTATGGTCTTGGCAAGCAAAGGGTATTTTGGTCATCTGAGAATTACAGGTCATTTCAAGCCTATGCCCAAAACTCATACAAGGAAGCTTCAAATGGAACACTTTACAACATCAAACTTGTTCCAAATGACATTTTGAGTCTAGAAAAGTGACCATGAGAGATTGGAAAGATTCATAGCACAAGGTTTCAAAATTGTTGGGTTTAATGAATAAAAATGGACTTAAAAATGAGATTTTTCATATTTTGACCAAATGAAGCAAAATTATAGGTCATTTTGAATGGAAAGATCATTTTAAGAACATTGGCTAAAGTGGAATTTTGAGGTTAGTTCAAATTTTAAGAGTTATTCATGGTTACTTGTAATGGAAGATACATAAACCAAATCCAAAGGAAAAAGTGCAAGGGAAGTTTCTCCAAGTTTCTAGGAGTTTCTAACCTCACCTATATAGTGATATGAGATGGTTCATGCCATGGTTGGTGATTACATTTACTCAAAATATCAAGTTTCACACACTTTCTCCAATTTGCAAAAGCATCTCAAACTCTCTCAAACCTTCACCAATTTCCATTTTTCTTGATTTGATCATCATCAATATCTTCCATGGATCACATTCACATCAGAGTTTGGTAGATTTGGGGAAGAAATCGTGTTGTTCAAGTTAATCCTCCAAGAAGCAAGATTTTGGTGATTGCAAGATTCAAGGAGATTGGACAAGATTCATTGCATACAAAATTCATAATCAAGCTCCTTAATCATTTTCCACTCATCACAAGCATCAGATTCAAGGATTTTAGCACCTGTTTTCAAGAAATTGCACCAGGTATGTTTTCCTTCGAATTAGCTAGCATAGTGATCATGGCATAGGATTGTTAGTATATTAGAGACCTAGGTGGTTAGGTGATGATTTTCACAGAGTTTGGAGAAGTTTAATGGAGGTTGCTCATAGTGCACTAAATCTGTTAGGATTGATAACTCACGATTTATGGCAAGATAATCCTAGATGAATGGCTCAGGTTGATTAGCATGGCTTGTAGATCATTTTAGGGTAGAAATTATGGAGAATTGAAGCAGTTGATATCAGGTGTTAATGGTGGATTCTATCTGTTCTACCTATCGGGTTCCATTATTGCTTGAGTTTTAGGAGGAGGTGTGGTTATGGCTGTGTAGAGGGAGAAATTTAGAGCAACTTTGCTCTTTGGATCGAGGGCATCCATGGAGAATTGAGTGAGAACAGGACGGTTGAAGGTGTGTGCATGGTGATGGTTTCTGAAACCCTAGGGTTTGCCCAAGGTTGAAGATGATGGAGGACCACACGATTGCTTG